ATATATATTTCCACACATACATAAATTTGCAAAGTAGGAAAAAATTCTTACTAGATTAAATAAAAAAAATCTAAATCATAAAAAAAAAAACAGTATTACTTGAATAAAGCATTATTTTGAAAAATAAAACTGAAAATATCTACAATATTTAAAAAATGAAAAAAAAAAAAAACAAGTCGCGGATGAGCTGGAGCCTATCGTCGGTGACTTAACACCAAAGTACACCCCAGACTGATCGCCAGCCAGTTGCACTTATTTGGAATACGCACATACCGCCATCAAGTTGAATTTTAACACCTCAGCACCAAAACGGCATAAAAGTCTGAGAAATGTTAACGCTCATAACTGTCTTGGGATTGAGGTAACTGGAAAGGCTCAATAAGGGCACTACTTTTTCTTGTGGCCCATAAATATGCATGAGTCCGGCGATTTGCTATGAAAATGCAAATTTTTCCGCACATGTGGAGAAGAGGTCAACGAGGCGAGCGGCGGCGGGGGTCACGGTGCGCATTAACTTGCTGTCGCCGGGCAACTTTGACGTGACTTCCATTAATGTTTCGCTGCCGGGGTGCTTTTGACACTTCAAATAGTGGCAATGACTTAAAGCCGCTGTTAATAGGTCAGCGGCGGAGGGGCGTGCGGGAGCGCATACGGGAGGGCGGGCTGGTCGCCCGGACCTGCCGGGATGCACTTTTATATTCAGTGCGCACACAAAAGACGCGATAAGGGGAACAACAGCACACAAATCGGTGCACTCTTGCACGAAGGTTGCTTCCCTTCCAGCAGTGTAGTCCGCGCGTGTTTGAAACCTTTGACAAAGAAAGGACTATTGGAGACTATGAGGAGGTAGTTGTACAATAAAAAAACAAAAAAAAACAAAAAAAACAAAACAATTTGCGATAGCAAGAATGAAGTTGAGGATTAAGTCGTAATGTTGAGAGTAAAGCACTAATTTTTCCGGCACGAAAATTTGTCATGTTGCGAGAATTTAGGGTTTTGAGAATACAGCTGCGATTCTGTGAGCAGGGGAAAAAAATTAAGGTTACAAGAAATGTTTTATTTTAATGAGAATAAAGTCATCATTCTACCGTAGAAGGTGGACATTTATGACAATAATGGATGATTACGAGCTATCTTACGAGAATCAAGAAATACTCATAAATTGTTGTGGGGGGGACAAAGTTGAAATGTTACGTGATTAAAGTTGTCATTTCATGAGAATAAAGTCGTACTAGTACAAACATTTTGTCTTAATTTTACCAAAAAAAAGTTGTGTCATGGGGATTGCAAAAAATACTGTGTGAGATGAACCCTTTGACAACGATTGCTACAGTGGACAGCTTATGTTCTCAGGTTACAGGGTGCATAAAAGGGTTAAATTCATAATTTTATGAGGAAAAACGATGAGATAAATGTTCGAAATTTTACGAGGGAAAAAAAATTATGTTGCGAGAAGGTGTGAGTTTGTGACAAAAAGATGCAATGTGACAAGCATCATTTCAATTCAACCAGAATAAATTCCTAATTTTACGCCGAAAGAGGCGATACTGGTAATTTACATCAATCATATACTATTACGATAGTCTTATCGGGATAAAGAAATATTACAAGTTTGTCGTCGTAATATTATGAGGAAAAAAAATGTGTTATGTTATCGCTATTATGTTGTAGCTGTCATACTATGAGAATGTAAGTCTTAAATTTAGAAGAATAAAAGAGATATTTTTGAAAGAATTCAGTCTAAATGTTGTGGGGGAACAAAAGGTAATGACACAAAAAGTCTAAATTTATGCTTTTGAGTTTATGAAAAGTGAAAAAAGAATAAGGAGAATAAAATAAAAGAAGAAAAAAAATTGCAAGACAACGTAACAACAACAAAGTTGTCATTTGACCAGAAAAAAAGTCGTCATTTTGCGAACAAAGTCGCAATTTTACCAAGTCTCAATTTTTACACCAAACGATGTGTTACATTATGCAATAAAGTCACATTTACAAGACTAAAAAATTGCTCAGTTACAAAATTTAAATCACATTACGGGGACTAAAGTTGCAGAGTATCATTTTATCGTTCGACAACAAAGCCAAAGATTTTTATGAGAAAAAAATATTGCACTCCTATGTAATTTTATGAAAATAGTCCTAATTTTTATGAGGACTTTTTTTTTTAATGTAAACTATGACTTATCTTGATGGCACCAAAACAACTGGACTAACGTAATGTAGCGTCAGAAGATTCCCGTGAGGTATTGCGCGTCACTTACATGGGTTTGGTCTCGGCTCGCTTTTTCCTGCGGTAGACGCACACACTCAAGGCAGCCACGAGCATCGAGAGGCCGCCGATCGCCACCAAGGACGTCATCAGCACCAGACGGCCCGTGTGGGTCTCGAACCAACTGGCGTCTTCTGCGGATCAGAGTCGTGAGGCGTCAAATCGGCGAAAACCGTTTCACCAATTTGCAGAGTTTCTTTTCTTTTCTCATTTTATCAGTGCAATAATAATCAGGAGGGGTGTTCAATACCACACTTTTTTTCCTGGCAGATTCCGGTAGTTCCGATGGCCTAAGTACATTTCTTAAAAATTGAATTCAATACAATGACATTTTTTTTTTTTTTTTCTGATGCAGATTCGCTGATCGTGTCAAACTGCCGCACTATAGCGCCAACTACTGCAGAGGGGCGGAGGGACTCGATGTCAGATGTATCGATGGCTGGTATCGGCATCCTGCAGGATGACTCAATACTTTAAAATAAGGCTGCTATCGGCTCAATACCTCGATACTATCGATATTACCTCATTAAAATGACAAGTTTACTCCAAAATTATGAGGGTTTTAAAGTGATATCGGGATACACGTGCACAACTGCCAGCAGGAAAATTCGCCAAGGACAGATTTCTTTTTTATGAATTCACCTGGCGCTTTTCCAGCACAAGTAGCAAAATGTGACATTCCGGAGCCGTTCAAGGATGAAAAATCATTATCAGCATCCCCAAGAGATTTCCTGTTTAATTAGCAGAGGCGCTGCGGGGAGAAGCGAGTGGAGATACTTCGGCATAGCGGCGACCTGAGAGTCAATTGCCGCAGTCGTACGATCTCCCCCATAATAAATAACGCACAGTGGCTTCATGACACTTTTAGTGCGTAAGAGAGAACGGCGTTTGAAAAGGGCCGGCGAACGCCAACGCTGCCGTCCTCTCACAGGTCACTGATAAAGATGATGGAGACAGATGAGGCGCCCTAATTGGATTAGTCGAGAATGTTGTCATGAAATTAGCGCCGAAAACGAAGACAGTTTGCCTGCTGGGACAAAGACGAAGCGTCGGTCCGGCGGGACGGTGGCCAACACGACCAGCCGCGTTTCCGATCGACGTGACTTGGACGACTTTCACGTTTCATTACGCTCGTCTGCGATCGAGTGCCTCGTCCCGGCGGAGGAAGCGGAAACGCAACGCTTGCAACAGAAAACGGACGGAAAATGTGTGCTGCTCATTCTGGTGTGTGAGCCTTGGCCACCTGGGGCTCGTAAAATACAGATGGAGTTGGCGACGGCCACAAGTTACTCGTGCGTAAACCGCAGTAATTTCGGTCATTCTTTGCAGAGGATAAAGAACACATGGCTGTGAGTATTGTTATATTATCTGTCTACGTGTGTTTGTTTGTGTATAAAACAGCAACCATCAATGCTAACTGTTAGCACGACAGCGGCGTTTCCCATGGTAAGCTAGCAGGTTATTCCGCAGGCGGCATAGTTTGCTTTCTCTTTCTAATTGTGTTTGTTTATGTTTAGTTGTGACGGTGAACATGAAGTGAGAGTGGCATGAAACAGCTCGATGACTCTCCTTGGAATGTACTAACATCAGTTTGCATTCATCGTGACTTGAAGCGTCTCTGTGATACCAATTTTCATTTATTGCCGCTGCTGTGATCGCAGTCTGCTGGCGTATTGTCCTCTCTCTTGGGACTTCTTCCTCACTCACATGTACGCAATCAAAACCACTTTGACCTTTGCGTTCACTCGGAAGCCCTCACGGGACGCACATCTCCGCAGTTGGTCTCACCGGGCAGAACGACGAGGCTTATGTTGCGCATTTTGTTGAGCGAGGCGCTGGGGTGTTCGGCCACGCATGTGTACACGCCGCTGTCGGCGGGGCTCACTTTCCTCAGCGTCATCACCGGCGAGGGCAGGATCCAGTCGTTGCCCTGAAGGGAATAGGAAGGCAAAGTTGAAGTCGTGCCGGAGTTTGATCGAGAGTGTGCTAGCTTAATGCTAACGTACAACGCTCTATGCCATACAAGGGCCAATGGAAATTCGCAGAGATTTTCCGCTATTTCTAAAACTTCAAGCAACTGCTACTTGATCTCACACACACACACACACACACACACACACACACACACACACACACACACAAGGAGCAGCAATGCATACAAACCAAGCACACGAAAATACTCGCAGACATCTTGCTCCTCTGTGGGAACAGTGACTTTTAATAACAGCAAAACGTGCTGCTACACCGAAGGCCCGTAAACTTTACAAACCCCAAAAAACAACTACCCCGACGTCGACTTAGAAGGGGTGCGACGCCGTGAACGATGGAAACGGTGGAAAAACTGTGCCCGCCTTGCCACGAGTCAATAACCTAGATAAGGCCGCCGTCTGCGGGAGAGCGATGCGGCAGGAGCAGGAGCCTCAAA